CGTGATTTGGATTCTATTGCACGCCTGCCAGTATAAGGTATTATATATTCCTCATAGTCCAGCGAATTTTTTAAGTAAAAACTACGAACAGAATACAAATAACTGTTAAAAAAAAATACGAGTATTGATTTTAAAAATGTAGTTGTTAATTATATGAATACCAAACGTATAACGACGTTCATAATAGGCCACGGGGGAAAACAAAAAATATTTATATTATATAGCTTATGTAACTATAATTATATAGTTATTCGAGCTTTATTTTTTATATTTGTATACATACTATGTAGTAGAGCTACATAATAAATTACTAAATTATTATTGTTACCCTAGTAAAATTTTAATATAACTTCATATCGTTACTATAATAATAATGATAATATAGAGCGAACTTATTACCAAAACATTTTTTTTTTCATCAATCAGATACTATTTACAATTTTGGTGTATCGTAGATAGGACTCGGAATCCATAACCTAACCATATACAGTGAATACTATAGACAAGGTTTTTGTTCAAACGTTTTTCAAAGTTTCTTTATATGATAGTCTCCATCATAGGCGTGCGCAGAATTTTCGTATAGGTACAATTTTTCTTAAGTTAGGTTGCGGTTATATTGTGGCAATACTACAATTAAAGTAAACAATTTTATATTTTATACTGTATTACAATAATAAATTCAAACAATTTTAATGTAGACACTGTGTAGTTGCTAATGTGTACAATATAAAATACTATGTACAATATGTTTATTGTATTCAATTTGCATAAGTTGCAGAGCGGATACAGAAAAAATAAAAACAAAACGATAAAAAAAAATAGTGGTATATTAATTGATAGCAATCCGAATCTTATCTATCATAGTGTGGGATATTTTGGCACAAATCACCTTATTAAGATGGAGTTACCAACATACATAATAAAGAAACGTGTAGGATCGCTGTCTTACTTTATAATAAAATAACAGAATATATTTTCCGTGTCTTATTATAAAAAACTATTTTATTACAAATTTCGTATTGAAAAAAGGCCGGACATACTTCGCACGTGAGTGCAGTCACTGTTGTAGATGGAAGTTGAGAAGGTAGAATACAGACGGAAATTTTATGTATATTTGTAAGTAACGATAAACCATAGCTAACGAAAAAACGATTCGGAGCGGAGTTCAGTTGATAGTGTTGCTTTGAAAACAATATAAATGCCATTTTATTACAACAATGTGCGTTTCCACGATAACAATGATTGTTTAAAAAGATTAAAATAATAAAAAAAAACGGTTGCCAATGACAACCTTAAAGAACAAGATTTTTCTCATTGTCTCGAATATAATTGAGGATTTCAAAACTACCACCCAGAGAAAATTTCCTTTCAGAGGAGGTGCTACACTTGATAATCGGAATAAGCTTTCTGATAGGAAAAGTGGTCACATAAAAAAAAAAATAAACATCTTTGTATAACTATAAGCTTCTTCGCTCCACTCAGAATCTAAAATGGAATTGTAAATTTGTAAGTTATAAATGTTTAATTAAATTGCTTAGAAAATAAACTAAATATTGTGAGTAGTTTGTAGATAAATAAACGGTCGATTTATTGAAATACGAAAACATATGATGAAAATGTGTGACTATGTGATGATAATACAGATGCACAATGTACAGATGCATAATACCTTTACGCTGTAATTTTATTTTACTGTGAAATAATTAAAAAAAAAAGGTTGTTATAAGTATGGATACAAATTTAGAGATAAAATTATAATTTTATATCGGAGCGAAATAAGTTCCGTGACAGCTTGACAAGTTGAAAACATCCATAAACAGAATAATATTAATAAAAAAAAGTCAATGTTAAACGGAAATATTTTTATTTCTTTAAAGTTTTTATCCACTGCTGCGGATCAATCAACAGTTTTGGTGCGGTGATCAATTACAACAATATTTCGACCGGTTAATTGGACGGATGATTGACAGTCTTTTAACGCTATAACACTAAGGTTAGGTAGGTAATTTTGTTTTTTGAAAAGATTACAAAGTGTTATAATACTGTGTCAACACGACAATGTTCCCCCGATATTTTTAAATCGACCGTTTTACGATTAAATTTATCAACCTTTATACCGTAAATTGTTAAGATTTATTTTTCATAACGTTCATAATTGTATTAGTTTTTACTATAAAAATATGTTAGTTTCACCTACTTCTAAAAATTGTGTACCTCTAGTGTAGAAGGTCTAGAAAAGGCTAATATAATAATAATATTATTCTATGAAAATTGCATCTTTATCCAATAATTTTTAACCGATTTCCATCAAAAATTAAAATGGAAAATAACGAAATCATTAATTCTATAGTATTTTCTACGTTTTTTTTTTCTATATGGTTTTTCTCGATTATTATTAAAAAACTGGTTGGAAAATCATATCGCACACAGATAGTGGGTGCCTCCCTTTTTTTTTGTCTATTGGTTACTTCGGTGTGTTTTATCGTTCATCAAAATATGGTAACTTATTTGAAAATGATAAGTACCTCCCCCACTAGAAATAAAAACAAATTGGCTACGGTACTGTATAACGTAATGTAATGACCAAATACAATAATTGTAAAAGTTTAATTTAACTGCCAACTACATTGCATTAAAAATTATTTGTTTTTTGGTTTGTTATTTTATGTATGGAGATGATAAGTGATTCTCGGTCGATCCGCTGTGGTCTTGGCGTACTTTTAATCGTAATAATATTTGTTTACATTAGCAAATTTTTCCGATTTGGCGATTTCTGAGATGAATAATCAATCGGTCGTTCGTAACGGTCGGGTCTATACTCGGAAAACGTTAATATTGCTATTAATATCCAGATTGTTTACGCAGCTGCGGGCATACATTGGGACAAACCCGATAATTAACTGCTAGGTTCCAACGTAGAAAATATACGTCTACGCTATCATATATTATTATCGTGTCTATGATAGAATATCATATGAAAATATAGAATCGTAATATAATTATTTAGATTTTAACAATATTACGGTCACGTATTCAGAAATGTATTTTGTTATTTCATATTATTAAAATAGACAACATATTCGTTTCAACAATTCGCTTATAATAATATATCTATAATATCATTTAAACATTTATTATTAATAATATATTCGTAATATTCTTTAAATATTTCATTTATGATGTTATATTAATAATATATCGATAATATCATTTAAAATTTCATTATCAATAATATAATAATAATATATTCACATTACTATTTTACAAAATAATAATTTTATTTACTGTTAATATTTATTTAATAATAGCATTCTTTTGATGAAAAATTGATATTGATATAAAATCGTTACGGATATGTTACCTGGGCATTTTACTCACCAATTAAATCTAAAATGCAGAAAAAAAAAAAAAAAAAAAGGCCTTGTTATTTTTTTCGATTGGAGCAAAATGTCTGATATAAATCATTGAAAATTACTATCATTTATTCTTTAAACAATTAAAACATTGTACAGGGTTAAAGGAAGGGAGAGAAATGCAAAAGTCATCTACATGACAATATCCTTTCTCTATAATATTATTACGCAGGTATACTTATCTAACTGTTCAATTGATCAATTGAATGCGATGCATTAATCACAAAATGTGCCAACCAACCGTGTTTCCACATTGTTTTGATCCGGTAATTATTATCGCATTCATAGTGATAAAAAATATACCTGGTAACATATTATTGTATAATATAATGAATTGTATAAAATTAAAAATATAACATGTTTTTTACCAGAAATCTTACTCCAATTGAAAAAAGGAAAAAGATCGATTTTGTTACTTTTAATATATATAATATATAGCCACTAACAAATAAACTCGTTTTTTGATATTTTTACCATTTTCCATAATAATTGAGAAAACACGAATTTTTCAAATGTTTCGTTATTTAAAATGTATAGAGTTTATATTTTCTACCATGAATATTTTCCCAATAGAAAAATGATATGAGATCTTTTTTGATACATTTTTAATTTAGCAGTTGACCAAGAGAGTCGTTAATTGACGGGAAAATTTACGAAAATAATTATTTTATTATTTTACATTTTATTTTTTTAATGTTATTTATTTAAAAATATTCGTAGAGACTTGACGTTTTGACAGAAAACTTATATTTGCCTTATAAAGGCGGTAAAATTTTCAAAATATTTGGGTCATTTTTAAGATATTTTGATTTTGCGATCTTTTTACGTAGTTTTTACTTTGTAGATAAAATTGTTAGAATAAACAGGAATTCTTCAAAATATGACAGGAGGTTTATTATAAGTCATACCTAGTGTTCAAAAACAAAATAATAAAATTGAATGTTACTTAACATAGGTGGTATTTTTTATTTTTAACGACTGTTTTAAAATCAAATTTTGACGAAAATTATAAATATTACGGTCTTTCAAAACTTGTGTAACCGAACTTCGTCCTGAATCAATTTTCGTTAGAAATAGTTAAACGTTGGTTTCAGGTACAATAAATAACTTTATGTATCTCACTTTCTCAACTACCCCCCTATAACAGTGATCGTCCCCAGTATCAGTTCTTTTTTTTTTATTGTAATCCAATTAAAAATAATCCTATACCTATATGCTTTAAATTTTGAAAAAAATAATTATATTAACATTTTTTTAAATTTTAGACATAATAAATTTGTTCAAATATTCTGAAGATTTTCGATCTACTTATAGGCATGGGGGAAATCAGTAGCGAGTTTTTTAGTTTTGATATTAATTTTAATGGATAAAATTATATTTTGGTCGAGCAGAAATGTTTGAAAATTTAACGTTCATTGGCAAATACATGGTACAATGATTGTACGGTATTGTTTATATTATAACTAATTTTCTATGTCGGAATGTCTTTCATAGTAATCATTTTAATATTTTGTACGTAAAATTAAAATTGTATCAAAACAATATTTTACGCCCGGCCCCGTCGTTATAATACCTATACCATACATGGACGTGTTCAAAAAATATTCTGAAACGTAGAATTTTGAGTTTATCCGTGTAATAAACTAACGTAGGGATACTGAAATTTTTAGTAGGTTTACACGTGTAGGTAGCTCTAAGTCAATATACACCGCGCTCAGGTATCGTTTTATACGTTGTGGGGGGAGGTATAATAATAATATTATATACAAAGCTAGGTGTGTTATTAACGCCGTGTTGTTAAACATAGTATAATTCGGACTAGCAGAGTGTAGTGTATATATTGTAGGTAAATGTTATAAATTATGTATTATATTTGTTGTTGTTTTATATTTTTTTAACGCGTAAAATCGATACCTTGGAAACGGCCGGTATATCGAAGGAGATCGAAATAAATGTGGAGACGCAGCTGTCCCGTGACATCGAATTTCGGAACCAAACATCATAAAACGGCGCGAATAGTGAGGGCTGCGTATAAATACAAAAAACCAACGAAAAATGGGGTGTCGCCCGTTTAATGACGGTTTTCGAAAACTATTATATTATTTAAATATCGCGTTCATCCGTGGGAATAATCGAATTTATGCTTCAATGAACATTATTCGTACGAAATGTAGTAGTTTAGTCGACATTTTAGATTCTGAATGAAACGAGCAATATTGTGTTTTATACATTCAGTTTTTCTATGACGCATTCTTTTTTTTTCTGTTCTCAAGTTTTTTGTAGTTAAGTGGAAAATAATAATCTTTTAGAGAGTTGAAATATATATTGAATGTTAATTCCTTTTAGACGTGTTATAATTTTCGTAATATTTAGGTTTTAAGTTCTTTATAGCATTTTTAAATTGTTTGCATTTTTAAAAATTTATTTGTGGTTTTATGTAGATGATATTTTTTTGACTTATAAATACTCGATAATGTAACACAAATTTACTCCTAAAGTGTTCTTATAATATATAGTATCTAGTATAAAAATATCGAAAATCCATTGTCACGATTTTGTATTATTTTTTTTAGCTTTGCTTGTTCAAATGTATGATTAAATATTTGTTGAAACAAAAAACAATATTAATTGCACAATTTGTTTTTCGGTTACAAATTAATACAATTTTCAGTTTTCACTGTCATCGTCATAGTTTTATTATAAATTGCCTTCGATTGTATTCATTTGAATTTGTTCAATACCCACGTATATTATTGGTGTGCGCGAACGAAAATTGCAGATAAATTTGACGTTTTTATATATACAAAAATAATGTTCTCTATTCGTTTTTTGTTTATACGGGACGCTTGTTATGTTCAATGGCATGGAAAAAGTCCTATAATTTTACGGGCTGCAAATAACGGAAATAAAAACGTATATGTAGTTCATCGGATGAGACACAGCGGTGGGCTATTATTAGGAGGTATAGACACCTACCATTGCATATTATGGGTTTAATCGAGCTTTTTTTGGGGTACATTAGGCGGGTATATTATAGTCTTTTGATTTGGATGGTATGTTACTATACCGTTGGCCGTTTTTTAATTTAGAGTGAAACTTTTGACAGGGCTGATGGAAGAGAAGTGACTGCAGGGGAGCAAGAGGGTTGTACCGCATTTTTTAGATTTAATTGCTATTGTGTCGGTGTCAAGACGCGTTCCATCAATAGACGAAACGAGTCTTCGGGAAACGTTTTTTTTTTTTTTCTGTATCGACTCGTTTTTAAAGAAAACTTATTTTGCCTATATTATACTACCACAATAATATAACGCAGTCGCGTTAGTAAAATAATTTTATCGCGCTTTTCTCGTACCATATAAATTGTACAATATAGTTGAAGTATAATTACAGCTAAGATATTTTTTTTTTTTTGGTCGAGTAAGAAATAATTTATATTAAAACACGATCAAAAGATGAGAAGAATAACAGATGCCAACGATTGATAATAATCACCGGTATTGAGACTTGTGGTTCAAATAAAATGTTGTAATTATTTAATGCGACTAAAAGTAACACAGAAATCACAGAGTTTAAAAATTGACCTAAATAATTAAATTTACCCGGTAGTTTGTAATGCGAATCAAAGTTCAGTGAATCAAAAGAAAAGACGTCGTATATTATTTAGCATAGATACGTAACGCGTGGGAAGTTTTGGAGTAATTTGTCGTCCGAATCACACGTCATCCACTACGTCCTATCAGAGTAATTCAAATTCAGTCGGTTAGAAGAGTTATCAAAAAATTTGGGTTATGCGTCAATTAGGTCGAAACAAAATCTATGATCGTAAAAGGAGACAAATTATCGTAAGTGTAAGCTTGTGTTCTTAAATTTAGTCGATTGTGGATTCACATTTCGGTAGAGTGGAACAGTTTTTAAGTATTCGTGGGAAATTTGGACGATTCTAACAGAAAATAATGAAACGGTAGAGTAGATAGAAACAAGAATCCAAGTGGGAAATTAAATTGTCTTTCCTGTCAAAGAAATTAAATTAACACCTGTATTATATTATAGTACCTTGACACTGCCATTGTTTCATGTGGTATGGAGATTCGGGCCGATAAGGAAAACCGACTAAATAAACTTCTCGTTTTCGAAAGAAAAACTTTTAGGAAAATTTCTGGAGCCGTAAAACATACCGAGACCGAAATGCGGAGAACTATAAAATCACTTCAATGTTAGAAACTCAAACGTTATAGAACATTTTTGAGCATTTTCATAGGAATAAACAAATTTAGTTCAAATTAGTAAAAAATATCTACCATGTAAAATGTTTGATCAATTTTACGATTATCGTCTAAGTCTGAATACCAAACGTTAAAAAAAAATCGACTATTAAGATTTTTATTCGAAGCCAAAACGATTACATTTATATAAATAGAACACAATATTTCAAATAGCTATAATAATAACTCAATAAATGTTTTTAACATTGTATCATGTCTAAAAAATGAATATATTATAATATATAGGTATGTAAGTGTTATGTGAAAATGTATTTCAGGTGTCTACAATTGTTTTTCAACATAAATAATCGCATACTATTAACAGAAACTGTTATTGCGTAAACATTTTCGTTTTTCTGACGGTTTTTCGCTTTTCTCCCAGTCATTAATCAAGGCACAGAGATTATGAAGAAATTACTTCTGATCAGAAAGTAAACATATTATTACAATGACACACTGAAAAAAATTACACACACACACACATCACAGTATAGTAAAACTAAAATATTTTCCATAACTTTCCTCAAAATCTAAAAAAAAAAAAATCTCGGATTCTATAAAATAGTATACTACACACGATAATGTTTATTATTATTTTTATGCTGAACTGCACATTCTTATTTTTTTTTTTAACTTCTCGACGTTTACGTCGGCATGGAGTTTTCAGTCTACTTTTGCATTGTTTGTTTTATATACCGCGCGGCTTTTTTATATAACATTATAATATAACATCAGGAAACATTTTTTTAAATAATAAATAACGCGCTGTCGTTGTATTTGTACGCGTACATTTCGAGTGTTTCCCGTGCACGGGGCCTATTGTGTCGATAGGTATATATGTACCGCCGTAACGCGAACATTTTCTTAATAATAAATTTCGAAATTAAAGCACTCCGATGTTTATATATATAAAAAAAAAATCGATCGTTTACTTTACACAAACGGATTATATTTTTATACAGGGTGTTTATAAAATTAATGAGAAAACTATATAATATATGTGTGCATATAATATAAAATGTGTAGATGCGGATGTGGGTAAAATTTCTTAAAAAATACATTTTGAAAATCCAAAATCGAAATCTTTCTTGAAAAGATTTTTGAATTACATTTCGAAAATCCAACGATTTAAAAACCCGCCTAACCGCATGTAGCTATTTGCTGGGATATTAGAGATTTTTTTCGGAACCACCAAAACTTGTGGTTTCTCTATTTATTTTTTATAATATCACCTTGATTCAGGCGCATATCCAGAATAATTTTTCATTGGGGGAGGGAGGGTTCAACAAATTTAAATGACATAAGTTCTAAAATATGTGTAATGTAAAAATAAAAAAAAAAAAGGTCATCAGCATATTTGGTCTGCCGTTGTAATAAAACGTGATTAAAATTAATATGATTGTATATTATACATATGCAGAGTGAAATGTTTATTTTTAATATAGGTTGCCAATTAAAAATTAAAAGTAGTAATTTCATCTACGAAAATATATAAGATGACAATAAATAACGGAAATGTAAAATTTTAGAACTTCATATTTCTTAAATTTAATGTTCTATAAAACAAATTTCGGAAAAGTTAATACATTCCGAAATAGGCAATGAGTATATCTTACACTAGATTGCACACTCTGTATAATTACTATATAATTGGTAAAAAATGAACCGAATGAATTGAATTTGAGTACTGAAGCCGAAATATTTATAAACCCTAGATAAAATTACATTATTAATGCCAATCACTAATACCAACAAATGTAATGTTTAAAATCTCTTAACACACGATGAAACGTTGAGACCTCTTGTAACTTTTTGAAATAAAAATACTAGTGAAACAAATACTGTACCAAACAAATTTGTCTCGCCGTCAACCGTGTCTCGTGTCTCACACTAATCTTACACAATAATACGCTTGTGAAATCTGAGTTAAACGAGCCCGATATCTGAACTAAACTTTGATATAGACATGTTATATTGTCATTATCCCTTGACCGATTAGTTGAACCGATTTAAAAAGTCGTCATATTGTGATCCGATTGTAATGAAACTGTGGAAAAGCCAGAAAACGTTCCGACGACGTAAACATCATCTAAGTAATATAATAATTATTAGGTGACATGAGTGTATATATATACATGAATTTGTGTGACTTAATTATAGTAAAATTTGTACGCAAATTACAAACAGAATATGATTTCCAATTCGAAATTCTAACAACATTAAAATATTTTAAGAAAAAACTGTATTCCATTTAAAAATGTTTGTCTTATTATCAGGTCTTCTGCTGTGGGTTCACATAAAACACTGCCTTCCATATCCAAAAAATTTTATGAAATAAAATTGATTTTTAAATAGAGCATTTGGTTTCGGTTTTTTTCAATGTAAATGACAGCGATAACCAGGCATGTTAAATTACGAAAAATAAATCTCTCTACAGTTTTTTTTTTATTTTGCAATAAATCGTGCAAAAATTTGCAATAGTCCTCATACAAATCAATATATATATCGCTACATCTTTTTTTTATTCGAGCGATACGAGCACCAAAAATACATG